ATTTCTTTAAAGAGAAGTTTATTTTAGGGAATGGTTTCTGTCTCAGTTAGGGTTTCTACTGCTGTAATAAGACACCATGACCAAAAGGAACTTGGGGAGGAAAAGGGTTTATTTCAGCTTACAGCGCTCAGCCCACACTCCATCGCTCAGGAAAGTCAGGGGAGAACTCAAGGCAGGATTTGAAGCAGAAGCCTTGGAGGAATGGTGCCTACTGGCTTGCTCGGTTTTCTTTTTTCCTAAGAAAGGGTTTCTTTGTGTAGCCCTGGTTGTCCTCAACTCACAGAGAACTGCCTGCCACACAGCTCTCAGCTTGTTATATTACTCAGGCCTACCTCCCCAGGGATGGTGCTGACCCAGTGACCTGAACCCTCTGAGAGCAATTATTAATCAAGAAAACACCCTAGACTTGCCATAGGCCAATCCTATAGAGCCATTTTCTCAATTAAGAATCCTTCTTCCAAGCTGGGAGTAAAGGCAATCATCTTTAATTCCAGCACTCTGGAATCAGAGGCAAGGTGATCTAGGGTTCAAGGCCAGCCTGGCCTACTAAATTCCAGGACAGCTAGAGCTACATGAGACCCTGACTCAACCAAAATGAATAAAATGAATGACTGATCTATCAGCATGTACACCTGCATGGTAGAAGAGGGCATCTGATAAAATTATTGATGATTGTGATCCTCTATGTGGTTGCTGAGAATTGAACTCCGGGCCTCTTGAAGAGCAGTCAGTGCTATTAACTACTAATCCATCTCTGGGATTCCTGGGACATTTTTTTGGGGTGGGGGAGTTCCATCCTCTCAGAGAAGGGGAGGGGTCCTGGGCGGGCAAACTTGGAGGCAGGTATCGATTGGGATGTAAAGCGAATAAAAAGAACACGAGTAATCTCTTCCCAGATGTCTATATTTGTGTCAAGTTAACCAAATCAACTAATGTCAGAGGTCATTTCATGAGTCCATGGTCATTTGAGCTCATTCATGTGGGTTTTTGGCTAGAGAACACATTGGGAAGCTGACACTTTTCCAGTTTCCCAACAGCACCATCAGAGAAGGACCAAGCTCTCTGGGGCTACTGAATTTAAGATTCAATTAGACTAATAATTATCTTCTGGTATTACTATGTCAGACTTAACTACATGGCATTCTAAGACCTGAGCAGTTAAGTAGTCATGAAGCAAGGAATCCAGAACTCTAGAGAATGAGGCTAAAGGTTCTGGTTCTCATACAGAAAAGTTATCCTTTCCCCTTGCCTGTAGGTGGCTCACCACTTTCTAAAAATTCATGATAAATCTGGACTTTATCTGCTCCCTACATATCCAGAGTACAGGGCCCATAGGGCGGATGAGGGCTAAAAGCACTGGTAACATTGGCAGTTTTACAAACTACACTGTAAGGTTGTCTAGATTAGAACTAACCTTTGGGAGGGGATATCCAACTGTAGAGTAAGAAACTGGCAGAAAATAAGCAAATAAGGACTCTAAATTCAGAATAGTGGGTCATGCTTATAAAATTCCACAACTTAAAAACTTGAGTTAGGTTTGCCATGGTTTTGAGGTCAGCTTGGGCTTGTACAATGAGACTGTCTCTAAAAACAAATAAAAATCAGGTAAGGACTCTAATCCCCACTGGAACACTAGAGAAAAACCATGAAAGCAGCCAGAAGCTCCACTATACACTTCAAGTAGCAAGCTTCCAAGGCTTGTTGGTTGGTTCAGAGGACACTTGACTGGGAAACCAAGTGCTGTGCAGATTAAGTTTCTGGCAATAGAACTAATTTTAGAAAGCACCAAATGGTAGATTTGTACCTACTATATTTTAAGATCTGGAATCTTGATACAAGGCAGGGGCAAAAATTCCGGTTGGCTAAAGTTACTCAAACCAGATACATAAATTGTTCTTTCAACTTATGAAACCAGTCTGAAGCAAACAGATGAGTTTCATGTTATAGCCTTGGAACTGTGTAGACCAGGCTGGCCTCTACCAGTTCTCACCAGTGAGCGAACTCTCCACCCACCCTCCAGCACATAGAAGATTCTGAATTATGCCAGGCAGTGGTGTTGCACGCCTTTAATCCCAGCCCTTGGGAGGCAGAGGCCAGCCTGGTCTACATAGTGAGTTCCAGGACAGCCAGGGCTACAGGGCTACCCGGTCTCGAAAAACAAAAACAAACAAACAAGCCCAAAAAACAAGATTCTGAGTTAACATCAGATTTGTTTCCTTCCATCTGGCTTCCTTGATGCTATAGTTTTTCAGTGTAATTCTGTACTTGCTCAATATTCTAATTTTAGTTTTTTCCATACAAGGTTTCTGTGTAGCCCAGGAATTCTGAAGACCAGACTTTTAACTCAAGAGATTCACCTCCCTCTGCCTCCATCCAGGTTAAATGTGTACACCCAGGCTGTTTGAACTGCTGAGCCATCTCTCAACCACCAACTGTTTTTTTTCAGACTTGACTCTCTAGTTAACTCTCAGGTAAGTTCCTTAGCAATTTATCAAGCTAATAAACTCAAGGTGTGGGCTAACATAGAATTAGTCAGCATCTGTAAATTAGGCTAGTTCCTCATGCTTAGTGAAAAATGCCATCCAGTGTGTATTAAAAGGTTTGAGTTAGTAAATTCAATGGAAACTAATTTTAATTTCTACAAAAACCATGCCTTGTTTGGACTGGTCTCTTGTTCAGGTCAATGATGGGGATGGCTCAGTGGTTAAGTGTGCTTACTGCTTTCAAGACCCAAGTTCAGGACCCAGCTCTCTCACAGCAGCAGCACTCCAGCGTCAGATCCGACACCCCCTTCTGGCCCAAAAGGGTAATTGTCATCATACACATACCACCCCCAATCCCTAGCCTATAAAAACACTCCTTCAATGCACAACACATGAACTCATCACACTTTCTTAGCATTCAGTCTTATCTTGTATTCCATTTTTTCCATCCCACTAACACAAATACATCTGAAAACCATACTATGCTTCATTCATGCAGAGTCCCTTAAGCCTAACTGTATATTCCCTGAAGTTGAACTGGTTTGGATGCAAATCTGTTTAATCTTCTGATATAAAGGAATCTCTTGCTGGCATGGTGATACCTGCCTGTAATCTATCTACAGTTTAGGAGGCAGGATTGTCAGAAATTCCTAAGGCCAGCTTAGTCTAACGAGGTCTAGGTATAAACAGGGTCTTCCAAAGTAATCAACCAATGAAGAAAATTTTCACTTGTGATTTCTATTTCTATAAAGTTGTTTTTTGTCTTTCTTGGCATCCTGTACCTGCACTGACATTTTTTCCTCTCTGGGCTCCTTAGCAGACTAGTATTCTAATATATAGAACATGTACACTAATAATTTGGACTATATCAAGTAAATATTAAAAGACCCTTCTGAAGGCAGGAAATAAGCAGAAGGAACTGCAGAAAAGTCAGAGGCTTAAAAACAAAGCATTTCACAACACAGCCTTGCTTTTAACTTTGCCAGCTTGAATAAACAAGTCAATAAGCCTTAAATTCCTCTTAAGACAACACCCTCAATGTGTTTCTGTGTAGCCGTCCTGAAACCTGCTCTGCAAACTGGCCTTGGAATTCAGATCCACCCGCCTCTGATGAGTTGTGTGCCACACCAGCTTTGTTTTGAAATAAGTGACAGCATCTGACCCTATTCTGGGTCTATGAGATTCATCAATTAATGAACCTCTGTGAGTGGGCTCATATGATCTTCCTGCCTTGTAGACTGCTGAGCTGTAGACGCCCCATTTTCCATGGAAATTCAGTTACTCCTGAATAGCCAATGAATCAAGGATGAAATCAAAATGGAAAATCATTTCTTCAAATATAAAAAGGAGACAACAAATAACATACAATACAAAAGCAGTACTAGATAGGATTCAACATACACATAGAAACAAAATAGAAAAGCACAGTATCAAAATGAGAATCTATCATAAAATAGAAATATGGGAGGCAGAGGCAGGCGGATTTCTGAGGCCAGCCTGGTCTACAGAGTGAGTTTCAGGACAGCCAGGGCTATACAGAGAAACCCTATCTCAAAAAACCAAAAAAAATAAAATAAAATAAAATAAAATAAAAATGGAACTAAGGGCCTGCTAAAAATAAGGTCAGTGCTAAAAATAAGCTAGAAACTGACTAGACATTCTTTAACTGCACCCAAACATGGTAGAGAACCCATATTCACAGCCAACTCACCTTCTCAAAGGTAGCAAGGCTTTTTCATCAATGGTATCAGGAAAACTTTAACATGTACAGGGGAAAAGAAACCAAACTAGATTCCTCCTGATAAGTGTGAAAACTCCAGAATAAGCATTTCAAGACCTTTAATATCAAGACGATAAATTAGGTAGAGGGCTGCCTTGACATGCTCTTAACCCAAGCATTTGAGGCAGGAGGGTTGGAGTCCAAGATCAACCCAGTCCAGACAGCCAGGGAGACTGCGAACTCAAAAACAAACATACCAGGTTAAGTGCTGCCACAAGGCAACAGCATACTAGAACAATTTACCCACAACCAGTGACACTACTTTGTAAAAGCCGGCGAAAACTGAAGTCAGGCAGTTTAGTAGCAGACTATTCTAAGGCTAGGCCTTTTATCTCTAAACTGAGGCCAGCTATCTCTATAGTTGAGTACCAGGACAATTTTGAGAATAAAAACGTAAGTCAACACTCAATTACCACAGTCAAACGGAAGCAGGTGCCACAAATTTAGAAGTTAAAGCTGGGAATGATGGCCCAGTTAGCACTTGGGAAGCAGAGGCAGGTGGGAGAAAAGACAAAGCAAACCCTGCCTAAAAATAATGGGGGGGGTGTGTTTGAACAAATGTAATCAAGATATTGTTTAAGCTTCACAGGGAAACCTGACAAAGTGCACAATCATGCTAGTTAGGAGACTGCCCCACCTCACAACTTTTAAAAATCAATTGCCATATAAGTGGAAGAAAACATGTACCAGGGCACTTTGGTTAATCAATCTGCAGACACAAAAAGAACTGAAAAAAATATTTGCAACTGAATGTTTATTGCAGCAAGTAACCACTGTCAGATGAGTAAGGAAATAGCCCATAACTATTTTACAATCACAAAAATGTTGAATTGCTGCTTTACAGCTATGGTTGCTTTCTCTGTTCAGTCTGTATAAGAGTGTCATATACATGGATTGTCACAACAATTCATTTACATACAGCCCACAAGAAATATACAAGGCTCAACTCTGCAGGCCATACCAGATGCTGTCCTGCTCATTAGACAGATAATCAGGGACAGCCAGGGACATGTAGACCCCATCTCAAACATCCCAGTACTAATGCTGTGCACTTTCTTCTTGTCTTTCCCTTTTCTGGATGTTTACCACACCAAGTTCTCATTGCAGCCTTGTCACTGGCCCTAGGGGGAAAACAAAGACACAGGCATTATTACATTACTGCCAACATTAAAACAGAACACAGCAGTCCTTTGTAATGGTCCACCTCAGAAGCCAGATCCGTAATTATGGTTTTTCAACAGGAATTCAGATTCGGGATAGGATCATCACAGACTAGACCAATGACATTATGTTCAGCAAAAACAAAGCAAAGCATCACTTACATGCATTCCTGCTCCAGGATCTTTACAGGTGTCAGGCATCTCAATGGGTCGGCATTCACTGCTGGCAGAAAGTACCATAACATGCTATGAGTAAGAACTGCATAAAAAATAAGACTACTTCACTTAAACACAATGGTCTTATCTCAGAAGCTGTATCTGTCTTCAGGTCATCATCTTCGGGATATACTTCATCACTGTTCAGACCAGTTAGGTCTCAGAATCAATTTGTACACTATGCACTCACTACAGCCATTCCTAATTAATAAGGCAAGAGTAGGAGAAGCTGCAGTGGCTGGCCAGGACTATTTCAGAGTTCATTAACATACAGGAGGCTGATTCTTATTTCACAATGCTAAGTGTTCCGTAACCAGATTAAAAAAATAAGATCTAGGCCTCATACACACCTTTTAAAGCGGTTACGTTTTAACCAAGTCTCTTTTCTTTACGAATTCTCCCGGATGCTTTGGGCTCCCCTTCATCTAATAAAATGAAAAGTAACAAATTTTAAGCACACACTACTTCCTACTGTTCTAAGTCAACAGTATACTTAAAAGCTGCATCGCCCTTACCTTGGTTTCTTCTTGTAACTGCTTTGCAGACGTTACTAACAATGGCGCCATTGTCCCTGTAAATGTGCAAATAATCGAGTGTCTCTTTAGGTGACACCGGTACCCTTCCAAACAGCACAAAACTCCTAGATTATTTTTGCAAACCCTGCTGTGTAAGAATCCACCCACGCTGTGACTTATTAACTAGAGCGCATGCGGCCTTCAGCTAGGCCGCTGAGCCCCAAACTCCCTGCGGCCTAGGCTCCAATCCCGAAATATTGTTTGCTGCTTCGCATCTCTCCGAGGATGTTTATAACGGTAGCCTAAAATCAAGTCTCAGAGGCTGCTCTATATGACCGGAGCCTCCAAATGCTCCTTGCGTCCCCATATTTCACTTGGTCATCCGACTGTGTAAGTAACTCACCTGCCGAACAAAGAGAGCACTCAGGTTCCGTCGTAAAAGAACGAGCCGGGGTCCCCGCAGCTCCTTTTATAGCTCCTTTTGTGCGAAATCGAGGCTGCCCCTCCCTCTTGCACCGATTGGATGTCAGAGCACGTGGGGGCGTGGCTTTTCATGCAGCAACGCGCGGGAGCGTGCGCTCTGGCCCTTTTTTTTTTTTTTTTTTTTTTTTTTTTTTCCTCCAGGCCAATCCGGGGCGTGGCGCGCGCCGCCCGGCTGCCGCGTGCCCGTCCATTTCTGCGCGCGCTCCCGCTGGCTCGCCGCCACCCGTCTCTTCCGAGTCTGGCGGGCTGCTCAGCTCGACGTGGCGTGGGAGTGGCGCCAGAATTCAAACGAACAGCCGCAGTTTGAGGCGAGGTCACCGCCTGCTTCGAGCCTAGTCGGCACGGACGGTCGGCGGCTGGGAGTGGCCTTGACTTGGCGGCGCAGGCGGCTTTACGCGCCGATGTGGCCAGCGCTGCGCTGTGTATCCTGCCAGGCCGCCGAAGGGACCTTGGAGGACAGAACTACGCGAGTGAAACCGAAAAGCTCTCTGTTTATCCTTCGTGCACTTTGGAGTGCCGCTGGTCTGCAGAGGGCCACGCTGTCGCGTGCACGCTATCCAGCTCCAGCTTGGGCGCCCAGCCAGGTCCAACACCCGGCTCCCACCCACCTCCCTACCCGGTACCAGACACTAGTGACAGTTATACTGTCACAATCCTGAAGAAGTTAAATATTCCATTTCACAGAGGAGGAAGCAGGTCAAAAGCCGCCAGTTGGCCTAAGGTCACATAGCTGTCCTCTATTTTTAAGTTTCTCCCTACTTAATTATCTGCAGAAAAAACTTAAGACTTTGAACATAAAATTCAAAGTAATTTGAATGTATGAGTGAATGTATGGATATACACATACTACATTTGGATATTTTAGCATTTGGAAATTTGGGTCTTTATTTCATAGCATTTTCACTAAGATTATGTGTACATTGGCTGTCGGTTTGCATTGACAGTTATCCTCTGATCACCATACTTGGACTGTAGCATACATGCCCCGCCCACGTCATGCACACATGCAGTAGTAATGACAATAAATGAATAAACGTCATTTGGGTAAGAGATTGTGAGGAACATCCCATAATGTTTGTCATAGAAGGAAGGTAGGGAATAGAATTACAAGGTAAAAGCTTGTTACAGCATCTGGGTAAGTACTGTGCCTCTGGGCTACGTTTCAAGCCTGTGGTATTCATTTGGTTCTTTTAAAATGTGTGTGTTCAGATACGCACATGCATGTGGAGGCTGAAGGACAGCCTTAGGTGTTATCCTCATGAACATCCTTTCTTTCCTTTGAGATAGGGTCTCGTTGATCTGGAGCTCACAAATTAGGCTAGACTGGCTGAGACATGAGTCTAGGACATCTTGTGCTTCCACCTCCCAGCACTGAAATTATAAGCATGTGCCACAACTAACATCATTTTTGTGCGGAATCAAACTGGGGTCCCTGGGCTTGCAAAAGCCATGCTTGACCTATCAGACCATCTTCACAGCCACAGTGTCAGGGTTTTAAGATATTAGATGAATGTCATCTTCAAAATGATTTTAGTATGTAGTTTTAATCTTATGTGCTAGCTTTCAATCACACATAACAAGAGAATTTAGATCAGTGGTTCTCAACCTGTAAGTAGAGACCCTGTTGACAAACTTCTATGTACAAAAATATTTACATTACAACGACAGTAGCAAAATTATGAATTGCAATTAAAATAACTTTATGGTTGGAGGATCACTACCACATGAGTGTTGGGAGCCGACTCAGAGCTTTCATCTTTGCAGCCATCTCAGGCCATATACCCTGACAAGAGACTTGTTTTCAACAGCCCACAACAGCTGAGCACACTCTATAAACATCTTGTTTTTCTCACATATCTTGTTTTGCTGTTTAGTGCCCCCAACTGCAAGGTGCACGTGGTATCCACGCTGCAAGACGCGTGACATAGTGTCTTCAGGTGTGTTCCCCTGCTTGTCCATGAGGGCAAGGTACATGGAAAAGTGTATAAATTCCCAGGATTTCCTTTCAATAAAAAGAGAGACTTGAGCCGGGCGGTGGTGGCGCACACCTTTAATCCCAGCACTTGGGAGGCAGAGGCAGGCGGATTTCTGAGTTTGAGAGTTCAAGGCTAGTCTGGTCTACAGAGTGAGTTCTGGGACAGCCAGGGCTACAGAGAGAAACCCCGTCTTGAAAAACCAAACAAAAAAAAAAAAAAAAAAAAAAAAAAGAGAGACTTGATCACACACCCTGTCTTGTCTCCATTCTTTGTGTCTCTTGCCCCTCCATCCCCACTCTCTCTCTTGCTAGAACCTGACTTGTGGACCGGAGCAGCAGCTTGGGTCAGGACAAGGTGGCCCCCGAATGTGGGGCAGAATGGGCAGTTACACACGAGGAACTGTATTAAAAGGCTGCAGGGTTAGGAAGGCTGCTGCTCCGGTCTGCGGGTCAGGGTCTAGCAAGAGAGAGTGGGGATGAAGGGGCGAGAGACCGAAGAATGGAGACAAGACAGAGGGTCTGATCAAGTCTCTATTGAAAGGAATTCCTGGGTATTTATATGCTTTTCCACTTGCCACCGTGGGCAAGCAGGGGAACACAGCTGAAGGCACTTTGTCACGTGCCTTGCAGTGTGGATACCACGTGCGTGCGCCTTGCAGCTGGCGGCACTAAGGAGCAAAGTAAGATATGTGAGAAAAACAAGATGTTTATCAGAGTGTGCTCAGCTGTTGTGGGCTGTTGAAAACAAGTCTTGTCAGGGTATATGGCCTGAGATGGCTGCAAAGATGATAGCCGCTTTCTGCTAGGAGTCGGCTCCCAACACTAATGTCTCAAAATTACTGTGACTCCAGCCTCATAACCAAGTCATCAAAGCGTGCTGTTGCTGATGTCATGGTATGCAGTGATGATGAACAGTGGGAACAGAAAAGAGGCAGAGTGGGGAGAATGAGAGAGAAGGAAGGGATGGGAATGGTGGCCCCAGTGACTCACAGAAATTTGAGATCAAGGACAAGAGGATGAAGTAGTTTTGCTTTTGTTACATTAAAAAAAATTATGTATTTGGATATGTGTGGGTGTTTTGCTGCTTGTATGTCTGTGTGTTATGCACGTGCAGTGCCTGTGGAGGCCAGAAGAGGGTGTCAGAATTCCTGGGACAGGTCGTTGTGAGCCACCATGTGGATGCTGGAAATTGAATTCAAGTCCTGTAGAAGAGCAGTTAGTTGCTTTTAACTGCCAAGCAACTTTCCCTTTTGTTAAATTTTAGATGCAACATTTGGCTTCATTTGCCAAGACCATCAGAATTGTAAACTGAACTCCACGAGAAAAGTCTGGATCATATAAAGACTAGTGGGACTCCGACTAAGGGGTAAAACAATAGCAGTGGCCTGGGATTAGTACTACAGTGTGTGCTTGTAGTAGCTAACCTTGGAAAACATAATACTTATAAGAAGTAGTTATATGCCTGGCAGTGGTGGCACACACCTTTAGTCCCAGCACTTGGGAGGCAGAGGCAGGTGGATTTCTGAGTTTGAGGCTATATTTGTCTCTAGTCAAGTGAAAAGAGCTCATTTGGCCACAACCTCAGAGTGGTACATGTAGACCACCAGTCTGAGGCTGCTATAAGGCAGGACCTGCTGGCCAAGAAAGGACAATGCTCATTGTTAACTAATCTTCATCTCTTCATGTGGGGAAAGCAGCAATCCACGGGAGCCACTGCTTTCTTGGTGACTTTGACATCTATAATTCTTAGAGTGGACCACATAATGAGATTGCTACTCCTGGTGTTACTTAATGAACAGTTTGGCACAAAAACAGAATTATCCCAGCATAGAGGACACAGTCTTATCGGTCTACCAATTTCAGGGTGGTGTCAGTTTGTCCAAGGACAAAATTCTTGTCCTTGGAAGCAACTATAAATAAGATCCCTGGTTACTAAGCCACTTTAGATAGTGTGGATAATGTGTGTTCTATCTAGGTATTCTTTTGGCTCTATTAGTTACTATTGCCCCAAACCCGGCCATTTTTTTTTTAAGCACCAAAGGTCATAAAACATGGAACAACACAGGCTCTGCTAATGGAGCCCGTCAGCCTAAGATTGATGCCAGGTGTGATGAACTTGGAAGGCGAAGACAAGAGGATTGCAAGTGCTGAGCAGGGTGACACACAGCTTTGATCCTAGCACTCAGAAGGCAGAGACAGGAGGACCTTTGTGAGAGTCAGCCTGGTCTACATAGGGTGTCCCAGGAGAGCCAGGACTATATAGAGACCCTGTCTCTAAACAAAACAAACAAATTCAAGGTTAACTTGATACACATAATGAAGGTCTGTCAGGGTTTGAATATGGAACGTCTCTACACAGGCTCATGTGTTGAAGTTGTGGCTCACAGCTGTTGGTGCTGTTAGGTGGCGAAAGCACTAACCTCACTGATGGGCTATCCCACTTACTGCAGAATGGACTTTCAGGCAGTCGATGCTAGCTAGGTAGGAAGGAAGTCATCGGCAGTGTACCTTTGCAGGATAGTTCCCGTGCCCACGAGCAGTTTCTGTCTCTCTCTGCTTCCTAGCTGCCCTGAGGTGAGCAGTCTCTTTTACCACATGCTACGCTATATGGATACTGTTCAGTTTAGGCCCAAGGTAATTAAGCCAGACACCATGGATCAGAAACTCTGGACTCAGAAACCATGAGCCCAAATAAACCTTTCCTTCTCTTTAAGTTGGCATTCTCAGTTATATTGGCACAGAAACTTTTACCCAAAGGAATTTGAACTGATAGCAAGAGAATACAACATGAAAACATCTGTACATAATACATAAATACATAAATGATCTGAGATGGCTACCAGATATACCATCTCAAAAGAAACTCTTCGCCTGCTCTGGGGTGTTTTTGAAAACTAGAGCACCCAACCATTGTGACCTTAAAGATCTATATGACCTTAAATCCAATGCTGCCACTTAGCAAATGGGCATTCACTCATTCTATTAAT